GTCACTGTTACTAGCTGAGTGAACTAGGTTAAAGCAGTGATAGCTATGTCTGGCTCCCAAATATCCTCAAAGAAAATCAGCAGCATAGCAGGTTCTTCAGTGATATGACGCTATTTCTTCTTATTTTGCTTGGGAGCCCTTAGAGACCGCTATCTCGCCGTGCAAGATGCTACGCAAGCCAAACAAAAAATGATCCACGCCCAAAGATCTCTTCGAGTGTAAGAGCAGAGACAACGGATGACATGGAAATGTAGGAAACCCTGAGATGATTTTGGTCAGCAGGTCGTACAGCGGTATCAGCGCAGCAGCAGCCTGGCCTCTGCCGAGATTCTGTTAGCATTGCAGAACACACGAGTTCGAAAGAAAGGCTTCAAAATCAACTCATGAAACGCAAAGCTGAGACTGACCGCTCTCGGTCACAGGATCAAGGACTCGGGCTGCAGCTGGAAGGCAGGCAGGGTACACAAAGTATATATAATCCAAGCGAGAACAGCTCTAAGAGGGAATGATAATGAAGAAGCTGGAAAAATGCTTGGGATATCCGATCAGCATCTAAACCACAAGGTCAGAGAATCATACAATTATTTAGGTTGGAAGGACCTCTGGAGGACATATGTTTCAACTCCCAGCAACTGGGGGGGAGAGGGAATAATCTCCCAAGCTCAAAGCAGGCACAGCTTAAGTTGCTCAGGGTGTTTGTAATCCAAAAGACATGTTTTGTTGGAGGGATACATCAAGCGGTGGGAGGCATACACCCAGTATGTGGTGGAAGGAATACAGACAGTAATAAAAAGAATTTGAAGGTTAAGTCTGGCTTGCTCTGGGACTTCTGAAACAACTTTTCAAGCTGACTTAGAGAACACAGAGCGTCAGTGGGTTTCTAGAAAGTGTAAAATACATTTAAGATCACGATTAATAGTTGTAACAATATGTTTCGATATCATCCAAATAAGGCACCATTTCCAGAAGTGACTGGCACGTCTGTTCTGGAAGCCAAAAGACTTGAAATCCTAATGTATTTATGCATTTTTGCAGATACCTTGTCTGAGCCATATAGAATAAGCATTCTGTGCTCCTTTGCCATCTCTCTGACCTTTCACTTGTTTAGTCTTACTTGATAGGAAGACATTTGTTTGATGTTCACATCTGAGAGTGACACAAGTGCAGGGAAGCAGCAAATGGCATCTTTTACCCCTGACATGCTTAGGAATACTAATTCAAGAATAATCGCAGTAGGACGTAGAGGGTCAATTATAGAAGTTGAAAAGGCTTTGCTCAGCTTATATTCTCATTTAACTTTCCTTTCTTGAATACCATTGCTTTACGTAGTTTGTTCCTGTTGTTTTAAACACAGGCTTTAAAGTGGTTCCGTTTTGTAGCAGTTGGTATTGTTGGACACCATCATACCCTAGGACTTTCAGATTTGTTTGTTTGGCTTTTTTTTATACATACTTGTTAAACAGAAGCTATAAAGCAAGATAGGGTGAGTGACTCATTTCACTGAGAGACAGTACATGCATGTTCTCTTCTTTATCACCGCGTGATGGAATAAAAAATTCAGGCTAAGAAAGGCAAAAACGCAGAAGCAGAAGACCTAGCAAACACTGATTCTCTCTGGCAGACATGAAAAATATCCAAAATCCCCTCCAGAATCTAAAGCGATTAAATTTGACTAGAATCCTCAAAAATGAAACAAAACCAATGCAAGCTGAAACAGACTGAAAACCCAAAGGACAAAATGCAACAGCCCGCACTGGGCACACCATTGCCTATATATAACAATTAAGGAAAGCCTTCAGAAACCCAAAGTCAGGAACTTTTCTGCTGTGTGTGGCATGACCAATAGCCCCCATTATTGTTAAACTGGTTGATGTGATTCATTAAGAGATGAGCTTTTCAGTTATTTATAATTTTGTCAAAATATTTGAGCTAAAATTTTCTCTGCTGGAGGTGGAATATTTATAAAATGTTCCAGGTAAAAATAGTTCTGCTATTTTCAGGAATTAAACTATAAGAAAAGATGATGTTTTCTGATGTTCTTTTTGAGAAGTTGTGTTTTGGCGGGGGGGGGGGGGGGAGGAGTAGCCTCTTCCGAAAGAGTGGCGTCCGCCACCTGACATTTCATTCATGCCTGCCAAGAGAAGACGGAGCCAGACTCTGCTCGCAGTGGTCCCTGGGAAAGCACAGGAGGCAACAGCCAGCACTTGCAACAAGGGAAATTCCTGCAGAGCATTAGGAAAAGCCTCTCCCCAGGGCATGTTTCAGCACCGGCTGTGCTGTGCGTGCCCCGAGAGACGCTGAGGAATCTCCATCCTTGGAGGTGCTCAGCACACACCTGGATGAGGCCCTGGCCAACCTGAACTAGCTCGGGGTCCTGGGTGCATCCTCCCCGCTCCTGGGGCTTTGGCTGTGTGAGCTCGGGGCCAGGTCAGAGACAGGGCAGTTGAGGCTGCCCCTTCCCTCTGGTGACTTTGGGGAGAGTTTTCAGAAAGCTCTGCTGGAGCCTCAGCCAGGGCTGATCCCCTGCCCCAGGAGCTGCTTTTAAGCTGGTGCTCTGGCCCTTGCCTCCTGCCTGAGCAGTCTTGCCCGTGCCTGGCCGTGCACTGTGTCGATCTAGACCCACGGACAACCTTCCTGGCTTGACCCGAGACCTGCCTTGTCACGACGGACTCATCTGGCAATCACCGGACTGTTGCTCACCCGGTTACTGCCTCCAGACCTGACCCTGATGCTGACTTGACTTCTTAGATTAACCTTGGACCTGCCTCGTCACCACAGGCTTGTCTGGCAATCTAGATTCTCGGCTGAACCCGGCTGTCATCACTCTACCAACCACATCTACCCCTTGCTGGGGAAGCCCTTTCCTCTGCCTTATCACCACGGTTGGCTCTTGGCTGCCGTTCCTTTGGGGAGCAGCCAGCCCTCACGGACCCCAGCAGCCTGCTGTGAGCAGGGAGTTGGGGTAGAGACCTCCAGAGGTCCCTTCCCACCCAAATCTTTCTGGAAATTTATGACAGTGCTCTAGCCAAGTTAAAAGGAAAGAAAAATTCAACTTCTCTGGGCAGGGAGGAAAACATAGCGGTGAAGGCTCTCGGTGCTCAGGTGCATGGCGTATTAGATCTGGGGAAGGGAGAAAGGACCAGAGGAACAGGGACAAGGAAAGGGGTCTAGGTAATAGGAAGGTGGAGGACGATGTGGAAACGGACAGCAGTGCAGCTGCTGTAATATCGCTCCACTACCCCATAAATCCTGGAACAAAAGGGTAACATCAGACCCTAGCAGAAGGTACGCACACAGCTCTGCTTCCTCTGCAGCTGCACTATGTCACAAATGACTCACATTCACATGGCAGTCCTGAATTTTCGAAACAGAAATACCTACTGCCCCGCAAGCCCTCCTCCACCTTTCTCACTGCATGTCTCAGACACAATTAAATGTCCTTCCTCTGCAGACATATTTCAAGGCTGGTCTGCTGGTGATGCACGGGCCGAGAAAGGGGACAGAGCTGGACTACCTGGGGTGTGTGTCTCCCAAGGCAGCCTGTGACGCAAGGATCTCTCTGTGGAGAGGCTCATCATCTTCTACAGGTCTTCTCAAAGACCTGCTTCTACAGTAGTAGAGATCTGCAAGGGAGACTGGAAAGATGGATTTAAAACCCCATATCACCTAAACTGTATTGTAACACTAAACCACAATGCATTGCAATCCATTTATTCCCGCAGCAGTGATGAGGTAGGGACTTGAAATAAGATTCATTGCTCTTTTAGAAATCTAAGAACCAGGCCTTTACTCTGAACAGCATTTCTTGTCACTTTCCCTTACCATTCTTTTAACGTTTTCCAAAAAATTCAAATACACCCTAATGGACCCACTCTGGGATAGCCCGAGTCCTGCTGGAAGCCACAGAGGGGCTGTTTTGCAGTGCAAGTGGAAAGGCAACCCTTGGTCACTAGCAGGAGAGCATAACTGGGGGTTCTGGCACTGCCGCTGTACAGCTCGATCTCTTGCTGCTGGGGAGATTTATAGGGCTTTCCCATACAGTGTGGGCTGAAAAAGCATGTACAAACAGTGCAAGCAAATATATTTCACTGCAGCCTCATTCTGTGACATCATTTCTTTTTAACAGTGCGAATCACTCAGACCTGAAATCAATCACCCTAAGGCCAAGCGACAAGGAAGGCCAAAGCACTAGTGTTAATGGGAGCTTCAGAAATGACGACAGTGTTGGTATCTTGTCTTTTTTCTGGGGCCATTACGAATGTCGGGTGTATTTTTAAGTACGCTAGCGTTTCCCAAGACGTTTGGCTTTAGGTAAATGTATAGCCATTGTATGGCATGTGTGTGCACAGCTGCACAAGCGCATTTGACATACCTCCTAAAGGTTGTTTTGCTAAGGTCTGTGACTTACTATACAACTAGGAACCTCTTTTCTGCAGGAGTACTAAACACTCAGCTATTCTCCTTGACCCCAACAAGGGTTGCTAAATACTTAAACTCTTTTGGAAAACTAAGACACTTATTTAGGCGCCCCAAGCTGGACTTAAGACCCAAATCAAAGCACCTAGTTAAAAAAACAACAAAGTTGCCCTCAGTCATTATGACTAAATTCATTCTGTCCGCAGCGAGTACCCATAGCTGTGTTCCGATTATCCCCAGAACTGCTTCACGCTGCAGTGCGGCCAGGAGGTGCTCAGGCAGGGTGGGCTTGCTATAGGAATCTATGCTGACCAGAGCTGGATGCACTAGGTTTGCTTCAAGTCCTTGTTCCCCACTATGTTTCCTGTACCAAAAGAGTCAGGTGAGACCACGTCACCAAGACATCTCCGTTTATTCAAAACAACCTTTCATCTTTCAGCTTTGTATCATCACGTTCACCCACGTACAGTCTGCTGCGCTCCCTCAAACAGTTTGCTAAGTTACCCTGAGCTGTTTCCCACAGTCTTGCTGTAATTATTGAATGGGTGACTCTGCAACTCTGCAACGGTGTGACCTTTCTGTGGTTATATTTCCGAGTCCTCGATAGGGCCATTCAAAAATACTGCAGTAGGAAGCGATGGCAAAGATTCATTGGGACAGATGAAGTCCCCCAGTGGGAACTGTTTCACTTTTGAGACAGCGTGGCCTCGGGCTGACTTATTGTGCACAACCTGCTTCTTAAGCATCCCTATCTCTGAGTCCCAGGCTTGTCCCCGCCGCAGTTTCTTAAAGGTGTTACGGAAACCCTCAGTACTGAAGTAGTAGATCAAGGGGTCCAGCGTGCAGTTCATGCTGGCCAACAGCATTGTTATAATTAATACTTGGCGCACGGAGACCTGTGTTTCTTGCTCAGCCTTCACCACCCGGGCCTTTATCATCCCATAAACTGCCAGGGTAGTGTTGTAGGGCACAAAGCAAATGATGAAGATGACCAGATTGACCAAAAGGAGACGGATGGTCTTCTGCTGTCGCAGGGTCTTCGTCTGGCTGTCCTGGCAGAGCTGCTGAAAGATCCGAATCGAGCAGTATGTCACAGAGCTGAGAGGCAGGAGAAAACCCAAAATTTCAGCCAGGACGACGAGGGGAAAGAGGTTATTCTGCCACATGTTGTCACTAAAGCTTTCAAAGCACAGATAAGCGGTCTGGTTCTGCAGCTCGCAGTGGTTTTGCTTGTGGACTATGGCTGTGGGGATGGAGCCCATGAAGATCACAACCCAGACGATCAGGCAAAGGAGCTTGGCCACCTTGGGGCGCCGCAGATGCCGCCAGCGAAGCGGGTGGACAATGGCAACGTAGCGATCCAGGTTGATGCACATGAGGAAGAGGCAGCTACCATACATGTTGATCTGGAAGACAGAGCCAGAGACCTGGCACAAGGTGTTACCAAAAGGCCAGTGGTGGTTGGAATAGTAGTAGAGTCGCAGCGGCAGAGGGAGCGTGAAGGTGAGGTCGCTCACGGCCAGGTTGACCATGTAGATCATCACTACAGACTTCAGGCGCAGGTAGCGGATGAATATCCATAGGGCCATCACGTTCAGCATCAAACCTGTAATGAATATCAGGATGTAGCCGGGCAGGAGGAGGTAGTGGTGAAAGCTGTAATCCTTGCATGTCCGAGACATATTGGAAGCTGACATGCCCAGCGGGAATCAGGGGAGGGTCTTGCTGAGATGGTTGAGCCTGCTGGTGGGCTAAGGAGGCACAGAGAAAAGCACTGAGAGAAGTCATTCCCCTCTAAGAAGCGACAGGCAGGTCATTCCCCTCATTTGCAGCTGGGAGGTGGATGGGCACATCTCTCTCTTGACTGGTGCTGCTTTGGATTGCTGGTCCGTGGTCATCTGGCAGGGGTGGTGATGTAGTCACCTAGAGTCAGCTTCTGCCGCTGGTTCAGCAATTCTTTCTGGTGGTTATGGGGAAGCTGATGCGATGGAGGGTCATTGCCAGTTGTCAGCACAATTCCTGGTCAGAGTGGAAGACCAAGACAGAAGAGTTTAAGTTAGAGAAGGAAATCTCTTGAAGTATTAAAATCCCACCATGGTGGCTTCTGCAGCAAGAGCTCACAAAAAACCCACAAGACTAAGAAAAATGGACAGTAGAAAAGTGAGTAATTATATGGCAGAAGAAGCCAGAGCACAGAGGAGGTAATTGTTGTACAGAATCATTTATTGCTCAGCCCCAGAAAATGAACGTTGCTTTGATCACTGCTGGAAGCACATGTATACAAGAAAGGGACAGCACAAGAGCACACAGGGGAAGTAGTCAAGCCAGCTCCAGAAAAAGAAAGAGAAAGAGAGAGAGAGAGAGAAAGAAAAAGAAGAGAGCAAGCGTTTTGAGGGAAAAATGCTGACTGGAACGAACTTTAAATAAAAACTGCATAGTATTGTTTTATATGAGAGAAACAGGACTTTGTACATCCATTGCAGATAAAAAGAATTATACTACAGTTAGACTTGACTCCACCCTAGCTCCTTTTCCTAGGTGAAACAACCCACACATACCCGAGTCCCAGCTAGTTGGAATTCCTTACTTTTCTTACATTCATACAGTTCCTTTAGTGTTCTCACCTGCATGGGACCAGTGGTATTTATTTGGATTGCATGTCCTCAGATCGTTTTCCCACTTACAACACCGTAAAGCATGTCGCAGCCCATGTCCCACAAACACCGAGCAGCACAGCCAGGTAAGGGAGCGCACAGTAAAGAAGGAAGGGCCATGGGATTCGTGTGGACAAACACACCTGTGACTCCAAAGTAGCGTGAGGCTGGTAACCCCTTTAGATACTAACGGTAGCACTGTCCTGCCAAACGCTGATCAACTGGAATGAGTCCAGTGGAAGGCCACCAAAATGGTCTGGGGGCTGGAGCACTTGCCCCAAGAGGAGATGCTGAGAGAACTGGTCTTGTTCTGCTGGAGAAGAGAAGGCTCCAGGGGATATAAGAGCAGCCTCCCTGTATTACGTTTGCATGGCAATATTTTGGTAGTGGCGGGGCTGCAGGGGTGGCTTCTCTAAGATGCCAGAAGCTTCCCCTGTGTCCGATGGAGCCAATGCCAGCCAGCTCCAAGATGGACCCGCTGCTGGCCAACGCTGAGCCCATCAGTGATGGTGGTAGCACCTCTGGGAGAACAGATTTAAGAAGGGGGATAAAACCTGCTGTGCAATAGCAGCTGGAAGAGAAAGGAGTGAGAATATGTGAAAGAAATCCCTGTGCAGACACCAAGGTCAGTGATGAAGGAGGAGGAGGAGGTGTGCCGGAGGAGGCTGATGCCCCTTCAGCCCGTGGTGAGACAGCAGGCTGTCCCCCTGCAGCTCATGGAGGTCCACAGTGGAGCAGATCTCCACCTGCAGCCTGTGGAGGAGCCCATGCTGAAGCAGGTGGGTGCCCGAAGAAGGCTGTGACCCCGTGGGAAGCCCACGCTGGAGTAGGTTTGCTGGCAGGACTTGTGACCCCATGGGGAACCCATGCTGGAGCAGTCTGTGCCTGAAGGACTGCAGCCCGGGGAAGGACCCACGCTGGAGAAGTTTGTGGAGGACTCTGTCCTGTGGGAGGGACCCCACGCTGGAGCAGGGCAAGAGTATGAGGAGGAAGGAGAGGCAGAGAGAATCTGTGACAAACTGACCGCAACTCCCATTGCCCATCACTCTGCAGTGCTGGTGGGGAGGAGGTAGAGAATTTGGGGGTAAAGTTGAGCCTGGGAAGAAAGGAGGCTTGGGAGGAAGGTGTTTTAAGATTTGGTTTTATTTCTCATTATCCTACTCTAATTTGATTGGTAATGAATTATGCTAATTTCCCCAAGCTGAGTCAGTTTTGCCTATAACGATAATTGGTGAGTGATCTCTCCCTGTCCTTATCTCGACCCATGAGCCTCTTGTTGTACTTTTCTCCCCCCGTCCTGTTGAGGAGGGGGAGGGATAGAGCGGCTTGGTGGGCACCTGGCGTCCAGCCAAGGTCAACCCACCACACTCCCCATACCTGCAAGGTGGCTACTGGAAGAGGACAGAGTTAGCTCTTCACAGTGAGGCATGGCAGGGGGACAGGAGGCACTTGGCATAAATTGAAGTAATGGAGACTCAGTCTGGATATAGGGAAAAACGTTTGCACCATCGGGCATTGCAACAGGTTTTCTAGAGAGGTTGTGGAGTCTCCATCTTTGGAAGTTTTCAAGACCAGACTCTGTAAAGTCCAGAGTAACCTCATCTGATCTGCTAGTTGACACTACTTTGAGTGGGAGGTTGGGCTAGAGACTGCCTTAATTATGCTGTGATCCTAAAATTAGACATCTGCTCTCAAAGCTGTCACGGTGGAGCAGGGGTTGGGAAGTCTGACACAGTTCCCCACAGCTGTTTGCAGGGGTTAGATAGACACTCCCTCACAGAGCCCACGTAGATTGTGATTTACTTCAAAAGGAAAGTAGAATTATCTGTCTAGAGGAAATCTTTATGTAAGGTTGATATTACTGTAAGAGGAAGCTACTCAGCAACTTGACAGGCATGACAAGCGTGTCAGATCTCCTGGATGGCATTGTGGGGCAATGTACAGATCTAGAGGGAGGATCTATTAAAGACAGAAGCGTGTGCTGACCTCACGGGTAGGAAAAGATTAATTCTGGCAACAATACGTTAAACAATGAAAGTGGAAGTCTAATACGAGAGCAGATAGCTATCAATTTGCCCATTCTTTCCTGGTGTTGGGCAGGTCCACCACCAAGACAGGTTTCTTAGAGGAACTTCTACTTGTTTGTCAAGCTGTTCTGAGTGGATTTCACCCTTCTTGGTGGATGAAAACTTTGTGTGAAGACTTGCATAAGTTTAAAATATAAGATAATCCAGCAAGACAAGACAAAAGTGCAAGAATGTTGTTGGTTTCAAGTGAAAAGATTAAATGCCTCAAAAAATCTCTAAGAGGATATGCCAGCTTTTGCTAGACCCAAAACCCTGCAATGACTGCAGGCTGGACCAGTGAGACCTTTGTCTTGACCGAGGCAAAGTGAGTGAGACTGAGACTCTGTGAGAGACCACGACCTGCTCTAACATGTGTGCCTAGACCAGCCAGGTGTCAGGTGAAGGTGACTTGTCTCCACAGACAAGCTATTTTTATCAAAAGGTATTCAATAAACACCTCTAGAGAATATAATACGTAAGCACAGTCCACACTGTGTGAGATCAGTGGTCTATCTACAATTCGTATTCCATCTCAAATCATGGATGGTGAAGGGATAATGTAAGAACAGCGCAATCATGTAGTGATGCTCCCTCAAGTTCTCTTCCTGCTTCCAGCCTATTTTAGCCCAGGGATTTCCCAAGCCAGAGGTGACCTATTTGTATTCAGTAGTCCTCGGGGAACTTTTCCTTCATGACTTTTTCCAGTTGCTTTTTGAGTTGATGTACAATTTACCATCTACAACATCTGTGCCAGGAGTGTCAATGAGTTCCACAGCTTAATCACATCTCAGGTGGAGAACCACTTCCTTGTACTAATTTTTGAATCACCACCTGCTAGATTCAGTTCAGTGCTGGAAGACAAAGTGGAAAAAACATACCTGTTCACCTTCATCTTATCACTGATGACTTTACAAACATCTATCATATTCCCCCTCAGTAACCTTTTTTTTTTTTGAGGCTAAAAGGTCCTTGTCTTCATAGTTGTTCCTCACAGAGGAGCTGTTCTGTACTTTTGAATGTCCTTATTGCCCTCCCCAGCACCTTTCCACTTCTGCTACAGCCTTTGTGAGCCCTGCAGTGGGGTGCTCAAAACCCACATGATATTGATAATGTGGATGCACTGAGCTGAGTAGACATAGATCTCATTTGCAAGAGGTAATGGTCAGTTCAGTTTGATTTTTCTCATTACTGCTAGATGAAATTTCAGCTGTTATTTTAAGGCCAGTCACTCACACTTCTCTTAATCTCTGCAGTTCTTCACAACCAACCCTCGTCTTTTCTAACTTGAATAATTTTGTCTCCAACAGATTTGTTATTTTATTATTCATCCCTCATGAATAAGTCAAACAGTCCAAGCCCCAACACTGGTGTCTTATAACTCCACTGGGAAAACCAACCATCTACCCACATTCTCTGTCTTGTCTTTTAGGCACCTTTTATCCAGGTAGACACCTTTTCGCTGAATTTCTTTAAGCACCATTGGTGCAAGCCCTTTTGAAAGCCTTTTGGAAATCAACATGGGCCACTGTTCACATGCTTGTTGACTCCTTCAAAGAAGGACTGAGAGACACAGCATCCCTTTATAAAAGCCATGATGACTCTTCCCCAGTAATTAGATGTGACTGCATGCCAATTGATTTTTTCCTTTATTATAGCTTCTACTAATTTCTTCAGCACAGACATCAAGCTCCCTGGTCTGAAATCCCCCAAGAGCCTTTTCTCAAATTGTGTCTGCTAGTGAGCCTTTAAAAGCAGTTTTAAGCTGCCATAAAGAGAGTTTCTGCTGTGGAAATCTCCCAGGCTTTCCTGCCATCAACATCAGTGCAAGAAATCTGTTTAGTTTTTTGCCCATCATCACCTTTTCATTTTTTCTGAGTGGTCTTTCCTGACATACTAGCCCTTCAACCTTTGAGACATCAAACAGCAGACTTCTAAACTGGCAGCAAAGATCACTGGGAGTGGAAAATAGATTGGGGTTTTTTGAGGGGAATTTTTTTTTTGGCGGGGGGTGAGTGGATGGAAACACAGAAGTAAGAATCTGCTAACAGTGGTGTTATTGAAGCTAAGCTGATAGTCTCAAATTTGATGTAACA